CTCTTTAGTCTTAGAGAGAGAGAAGGGAACAATAACAAGCAGATGATTGGTTTTGACTGTTAAAAGAAAGTTACAATGCCTCTTTTACTGAAACAAACATCAAGTTACCAAAGCTGCTTTGTACCCAAAAAAAGTTACCACAGCTGCTGTTTTTCTTCACTCTGGGAAAGACAGAGAGAGAGAGAGAGATCTGGGCAAAGTGCTATCAAGGTAAGTTGCCAACAGCTGCTTTGTACCCAAAAAAATTACCAAAGATGTTGTCTTTACTGTAACAGGAAAGTTACTATGCAGAAACCAACATCAAATGCTCAGATCCAAGTCCAAACGTACGAAATCAACACAAATCTCACACATAACTAAAAGAAATTAATTTACATCACTACAACAGTAAAAGAAATTAATTTACATCAACACAGACTTATAAGAGAGGCTTGCAAAAAAAAAAAAACAACAGCAGCAGCAGCTCCATATAAACAACTATAAATTGTCTTCAAACCAACTATAAATTAATCACAAATTCACAATAATAATGCCAGCCATAAAATTTGAGATTATGCCAGCCAAATTATCAATCACAATCAAACAATTCTGAGACAATATATACCCCAAAGGATCCTTATTGCATAAATAAAAGATGACAACAACATAAATCAGCTGTAATTTTGGCTTTCTTTTTCTTTGAAAAAAAAAAAACCGGTACAAAACAAAAGGAGAAAAAAGTTAACGATAATGTCCTAGCCTAGTTTGAAAACAAATAAGCTCTTGTACAAACCGCTAGTTCCTCAAAATTAATTGCCAATTGAGAGAGTAGCCCAACTCTTTCTAAGCTTATGTTAGGTCTCTTAACTCTTCAATAGGAACAAATCTCTCAACATCTCCAACAATCCGCGAGGCCTGAATTATAGAACTGTGTCCTTGCTAGTGAGTGAATAAGAAGCAAGTAATAAAAGCTATTGTATTTGGGAACCAAAATTTTTATATAGAAAAACATTTTGAGAAACATCTTTTGTTGTTGATAATATATGGACATGTGTTGAGCCTTTATAAGAACACGTTCGAATGTGATGGAAGTGTTTGATTGGTTCCTTGATTCTGGAAACAATTGCCCATAAAGACCAAAATTCAAGTTGTGCAATGTTGATAATCACATTGAGGAGGTGGTCCAGTGAGGAGGTGGAGATCATTGGATAGAATTATCATATCATTATTAATTCCATGTTCAGTGCTTTTGTTATCACTTTTCCCTTCGAGAACTTCGATATGGTCATCCATGACTGCCAAACCTCAACCAAACCCGAATAAAATATTGACTTGGTCAGTTTTTACACGCGTCTCATTTCAGTCAAAATTTTAATTAAAATATAACATGAAGAAGCTCATGAGACTTTTCCTCACACTTCTCTTCTGTCCCTTGGGGATTTTAATCAGCATATCCAGTTTAAAGATGGTCACATCATTAAACTTTATTTCTTAGCCATGGTTTCCTCAACATTCAGATTATTGATCCTCTGTACACAACTTGCCTTACTCATTCTCAACATCAATATTAATATCACTCATGCACAGCTTCGGCCTACAATTCCATCAGCCGTCTGTGATAACAACAAAGGCAACTACACCAATAGCAGCACCTACCAAAAAAACCTCAACGACCTCCTCTCCTCCTTACTCTCCAACAACAACGGCTACGGGTTCTACAACTCCTCCCGCGGCCAAAACTCCGACACAGTATTCTCAATTGGGCTTTGCAGAGGAGATGTGAAGTCCGACGCTTGCGGTAAATGCCTCAGTGACGCCACCTATGCTCTCCCGGGGGATTGTCCTAACCAGAAGGAGGCAATTGGATGGTCCCCAAATTGCATGTTACGCTATGCAAACCGCTCTATGTACGGCCTGCTGGAAGTTAATCCAGCTTACTATGCGTGGAACACAGAGAACGTATCATCTGCAAGCTTGGATGCCTTTAACCAAGAGCTCACTGCCTTGTTCAAGAGACTTGGAAGCGAAGCAGCAGGGGGCGGCGATCTGCGTAAGTTTGCAGTAGGAAACGCAAGCGTTGGCTCGAATTCTAATATAACAATCTATGGACTTGCTCAGTGCACTCCAGATGTGTCAGAGGGAGAGTGTGCTGCTTGCATAGATGGTGCTTTTGGGGATGTCCCATCATGTTGCAGTGGAACAATTGGTGTGAGAATTGTTACACCTAGCTGTAACATAAGGTATGAGATTAGCCCCTTCTTTGACAGTACAAACGAGACACCACTGCCATCGCCCCCCTTAGCAACACCGGCCTCTGCCCCTCCTCCACCACCAGCTGATGCCACGACTCCAGGAGGTATTGTTTATGTCATGTGTCCCATATTGATCATGCATTCATAGTCAACAAAATATGTGGTTGAATTTCTGATGTGAATTGGATTGAACATGAGGCAACATGAGTTTTCCATCCCATCATATTCTAAGTCTAAGTAACTACTCTGTTTTAGTGTTGTAATATCTTCTTCTGCACAACAGGGGAATGCTAGTTGTAGATGCAAATGACTTTGTTGATTGATTTTGTTTTTTGGTCTTATGCAAATGAATTTGTTTGGTTACTTTAATAAATGATCATAACTCTGAGTTATCTACAGGTTACTTTGTACAATAATTGAAATTCAGCCCCATGATGCTCAGAGAAACCATATTAATTTCTGATTTTTGCAGGAAAGAAGAGCAATACATCTCGGACTGTCATCATTACTGTTGTGACAATTGTTGTTTTCCTGCTGCTAATTATATCCATCTGCATTTATCTGAGATGGAAGAAGAGAAAGGAAAAACTTGAAGGTAAGTTGAGATAAGTTTGTCATTCTAATTTCCCCTGAAACAAACAGACCTCTTGTTTGTCTTTTAAGTATGCAATGAACTAATTTAATTTGTGTTACATTGTTTGTCATTAAAATCTGAGAAGGAGATGAACTTGGAACAGAAGCCTTGCAATTCGACTTCAACTCCATTAAAGTTGCTACAGATAACTTTTCTGAAGCAAATAAGCTTGGACGTGGTGGATTTGGTGCTGTTTACAGGGTAACGAAACAACCACAATAAGGTTAGTTATGTGCCTACATGAGCAATAAGTTAACTTTCAGATTCTTCTTGAATGCAGGGTAGGCTTTGGAATGAAGAAGACATAGCAGTTAAAAGGCTTTCTAGAGATTCTGCACAAGGAGATATAGAATTTAAAAATGAGGTTGCCTTAGTAGCCAAGCTTCAACATCGAAATTTAGTTAGGCTCCTTGGTTTCTGCCTGGAAGGAAATGAAAGACTTCTTGTGTACGAGTTTGTCCTTAATGCAAGTCTCGATAAGTTCATATTTGGTATGGTTGGAAACTTGGACTTCAGCTTCTATTTTGAAATGTATGATAAAAGCTCATATTATGTGCCTCACATGCTTTCAAAGAGTACAAATATTAATTTTCCTTGACTATGCAGATCCAATCAAGCGCGCACATTTGGATTGGGATAGTCGCTACAAAATCATAGTAGGCATTGGACGAGGACTCCTTTACCTTCATGAAGATTCACGTCTTAGAATTATTCATCGTGATATGAAAGCTAGTAACGTTTTATTAGATGCAGAAATGCATCCCAAAATTGCAGATTTTGGCATGGCAAGATTGTTTGATCTTGATCAAACACAAGGTGAAACCAGTCGAGTTGTGGGGACCTAGTAAGTACTAGCAGACTATATGGTTTAAAATTTTAAAATTCATGTGATTTAGCAATCAGTATAAGTAAAGAACTCAAAACAAGATAATTTGAGCATAACAGTGAAAATTTTCATCCATGATAACTAAAGTTAAGCTTCTCATTGTTGATATGCAGCGGATATATGGCTCCAGAGTATGTAATGCGTGGACAGTTTTCTGTTAAGTCTGATGTTTATAGCTTTGGTGTATTAGTTTTGGAGATAATAAGTGGACAGAAAAATAGTTCATTTCGACATGGAGGGAATGTGGAGGATCTTCTAAGCTATGTAAGTAACACAAAAAGTTTGAAGGAAAAGAAAAGTTATACATCTGATTTTGTTTCTGCATATTCACAAAATTATGCAGGCATGGAAAAGTTGGAAGGAGGGCACAGCTGCAAATTTAGTGGATCCAATGTTGAAGAATGGTTCAAGACCAGAAATAATGAGATGCATCCACATTGGACTATTATGTGTGCAGCAAACTATAGCTGATAGGCCAACCATGGCTGCAGTGATTCTCATGCTTACTAGCTCCTCTCTTGATAATCTCCCAGCACCCTCGCAACCAGCATTTTTTATGGATGGTGGCATTGGATCCTCATCCGACATGTCGTTGGGGTGGGAAAATAACTCAGGGGTGACAGGGTCCGATCCATCCAGAAGTGGCTCTGTCCAAAAATCTCCACACGAAGCTTCAATTTCAACTTCAAGCTATCTCCTCTCTGGCAATGGATCATGATGGAATGTTATTTATTTATATATTTTATTTCATTTTTAATTTTTTTTAATGTGGTTCATTGTTTTGGTAGATTCTCATAAACTAGTCTTGGTCACGATGATATTTGTTTTCCAATTTTCTTATTTGGCTTTTTTTTCCAAGCAGATGTAACAACCGAAGGAATGGAGTGAATCTTTAATTTTAGGAATAACATGTGCATTCCCTACAAAGAAGCAAAAGCATCCGCCACAAAATTAACTTCTCTAAGGAAATGGTGAAAACTAATACTCTCAAAGATGAGACTAGGTGATGAAAACCCTTAACTATGGTATAGAACATCGACCAATGATGCAGTTAATGAGCAGCTTAGAATCGCCTTCAATCAAAATTTTAGAGTATCCAGCCCTCAAAGCATTGAGATCTTTCAATAATTTTCTTACTTAGTCATTTTATTAGTTAGACCACCTAGAATAATAATCCCACACCCAAAAATAACATTAGAAAATAAATAAAAGTGCCTAAAACTTCCAAAAACAAATAAAATAAGATTCATCTTCTGCCCTTTATCCATCAGACCTGCATCAAAAAAGGAATAATGTCAGTTCTTACTTGGGATGCACTAAACCGGGAATTAACTAAATACAAGAATAATTAAACTCAAGAGCCAGCTAGCGCATCTTTTATAAATTAGTTGCTTAAAGTTTATCTAAATATGCTCAGTCAGGATTATATAGTGCCTTGGACAAAACTGTCTAACCACGGAAGAGAGCACTGAGACAGAAAAATATCAATTACCAAGACTTTTCTCAAAATGGAATCACTAAATGAATGAAGGCATGAGCATAATGCCAAGAAGAGGAACTAGATAGTGTCTCACCTTCCACTCATCTTTTTGCCATAATTGAAGTAGATAGTTCCAATCATCCTCTCCCACTGTTTGAGGTCAATGCTCAAGTGCCTCCTGCTCAGATCCATATGCTAGAAATTTCTGATGCAAACAAAATTGTTAAGGCAATAATGTGCATTACCCTTTTTTTCCTTGACAGCTCGTTCCCATTTTCTTTTGAACACCTTCATTGCGTTGTACGATTCTCTCCTCACCTACACACAAATACACAACAAACAATTTTAATCCAAGTAAAATCCTAATAAACTGAACAAATTACATGTCAAGACTTACATCAACTCTGGTCCTGCAAAATACTAATAACACATTAACTAGTCAGCCTCAAACAGTTTTGGAGACAATAAGTGGACAGAAAAATAGTTCATTTCGACATGGAGGGAATGTGGAGGATCTTCTAAGCTATGTAAGTAACACAAAAAGTTTGAAGGAAAAGAAAAGTTATACATCTGATTTTGTTTCTGCATATTCACAAAATTATGCAGGCATGGAAAAGTTGGAAGGAGGGCACAGCTGCAAATTTAGTGGATCCAATGTTGAAGAATGGTTCAAGACCAGAAATAATGAGATGCATCCACATTGGACTATTATGTGTGCAGCAAACTATAGCTGATAGGCCAACCATGGCTGCAGTGATTCTCATGCTTACTAGCTCCTCTCTTGATAATCTCCCAGCACCCTCGCAACCAGCATTTTTTATGGATGGTGGCATTGGATCCTCATCCGACATGTCGTTGGGGTGGGAAAATAACTCAGGGGTGACAGGGTCCGATCCATCCAGAAGTGGCTCTGTCCAAAAATCTCCACACGAAGCTTCAATTTCAACTTCAAGCTATCTCCTCTCTGGCAATGGATCATGATGGAATGTTATTTATTTATATATTTTATTTCATTTTTAATTTTTTTTAATGTGGTTCATTGTTTTGGTAGATTCTCATAAACTAGTCTTGGTCACGATGATATTTGTTTTCCAATTTTCTTATTTGGCTTTTTTTTCCAAGCAGATGTAACAACCGAAGGAATGGAGTGAATCTTTAATTTTAGGAATAACATGTGCATTCCCTACAAAGAAGCAAAAGCATCCGCCACAAAATTAACTTCTCTAAGGAAATGGTGAAAACTAATACTCTCAAAGATGAGACTAGGTGATGAAAACCCTTAACTATGGTATAGAACATCGACCAATGATGCAGTTAATGAGCAGCTTAGAATCGCCTTCAATCAAAATTTTAGAGTATCCAGCCCTCAAAGCATTGAGATCCTTCAATAATTTTCTTACTTAGTCATTTTATTAGTTAGACCACCTAGAATAATAATCCAACACCCAAAAATAACATTAGAAAAGAAATAAAAGTGCCTAAAACTTGTTATAAAAAGTAAACTAGGCTCATCCAAATTAGTACAAGAAATCCAACCCATTACCCAACTCCCACTTTGTAGAGTTTTCGTACTCGAACCCAAATTCAATGTTTCGAGTCTCGAGTCAGGGCCTTATATATAGCCCTTAGATGAGGTCCTATCTTTTAACGTGGAATCAAGCTAACTAATTTGATCAAACAGCTAACTAATTTGATCCAAATGATAAGAAATATGGCATCACCTAAGGGTCATATATAAAGCCCTCATTATAGAACTCTTGTTCGTGTCTCTACCTCAACCCTCGACAAATTTAGGCTGCCCCAATCAAGATAGCCCACAAACTGAACGCTCAATATGCTTGGTCTGATTGGAAAAAAGAAAAAGAAAAAGTTCCTTTGTTTTCAATGGGTGAGAAAATAAATAATCAGCTTTTAAGAAACTTTTGCAATTAGGCGTATGTGCAAAATGAAGAAGAATGGCCAAAAGTCACTTTTGGTCCCTATAGTTTGGCACTTCAATCACTTTTGACCATGTAGTTTCAATTTCGTTAATTTTGTCATTGTAGTTTCGTATTTGTAGCAATTCAAGGACATGTTAGTATTCTTTTCAATTTCTTTAACGATGTAAGGGGCAATTTTCTCAACCCAAAATCCTTGAGCATAAAAGCTTGTTTGAAATTCTCCCCATTTCATATTAGGGCTTGAAATTCAAAGCAATTCAAGGACATGTTAGTATTCTTGTCAATTTCTTTAACGATGTAAGGGGCAATTTTGTTAACCCAAAATCCTTGAGCATAAAAGCTTGTTTGAAATTCTCCCCATTTCATATTAGGGCTCGAAATTCAACCACTAATCCCAATTTTTGAATAACCCTAAACCCAAATGACCAATTTCAAGCACTGATATGAAATTAGGGGAGTTTCAGACGAGCTTTTATGCTCAAGGATTTTGAGTTGATGAAATTGCCCCTTGCATCGTCAAAAAAATTGACAGAAATACAAACTTGTCCTTGAATTGCTACAAATATGAAACCACAGGGTCAAAATTGACGGAATTGAAACTATATAGTCAAAAGTGGTTGAAGTGCCAAACTAAAGAGACCAAAAGTGACTTTTAGTCAAAAAGAATTGTAAATTTTAAAAGTGCAGGGCTAAATTGAAACTTCCTAATCTTAGGATTAAACTACTAAATTAAAAGTGATTCACACTTTTTATATTATCTTTTCATACTTATCATGAAACAAATATTATATTCGTGCAATTAATCAATGCTATTTCTATATAAATTGTTCATTTTTTACTTTACATGTTAGATTAGTTTTATTTATTTATTTATTTAAAATTCAATTTTTTTTTAATTTTACTGAAGCTTGAGTGATGTGAGGAAACTAAAAGAATACAAGAAAATGAAATCTTACCTGAGTTAATTCAATTAGAAAGCAGCGTGAATTGAAGCACGTGGTATGATATCAAAACAATAATGGTGGATAATGGTTTGGAGGACGATGAAGAAGTTGGCATTGTGATTTGTGAAAACGACCATAAGCGAGGGCATAGCGGTTTGCTTCATCCATTTTTCCAATCAGATTTGTTTTTTGGTTGAAATTGGTATTTAGGTGAAATGCGTAAATCTTAAAACTAACTAGACATCTCTGTGAAAGTAATCATCAAATGAACCTAGCTACAAATGACTAGTCAACAACTAATCATAGACTCAAGAACACACAATCAATAAACAGATCCACTATCAATCAATCAACAATAACCTGCAAGTCTAGAAGAGATATAAGTCACAACTTAGGCACTCGGAAGAATTTGTTAATTTAAGCATCTTCAGTGCTAGCAACAACTATGGTGAACAATGTATGCTCGTCCAAAGGTGAAACTACGAAGGGGCTCGGCTAGGCTCTGGCCCAAGGCTGATTTTCCAACTTAGTCTTAAATTTTTTTTTATAAAAAAACCCTACAATTAAATATTAGCCCCCCATTTAACACACACAATGCCTTTACTTTTTCTCAGCCCACGAAAAGTGCAAGGCCAGACAACTGGTCTTCGAGGGAGAGCGTGAGCTCATTCTTTTGTTCAAGTAGCCTTGCCTTGGAGGTTGTGAGGCTAGCGGGACCACGTACATACAAACACTTTTCTTTCTTCTTGCTTCTTATTATTTTATTTTATTTTCTTCTCCGCTAGTTTTCTTCTTTCTTCTCTTTTCTTTTTCCTCCTCATTCTTTCCCCTCTCTCTCTCTCTCTCTCTCTCTCTCTCTTCTTCTTCTTTTTCCTCTCATATGATAGCTAAAAATAAATTAACTGGCTCTACTCTCCGCGAGTTTTCTTCTTCCTCCTTCTTTCAGTGTGGTTTTTGTGTGGTCATTTTGGCTGGAACGACACCGGCAAATTTTTCATGGTTTCACCCCAAAAACCAGAGGTCTTCGAAATAGAGAAAAAGAGGCAAAGATAACATCACCAGATGGAACATCTGCTCTATTCCTCTAACCAAATCATTCAATTTTGTATTGTCTGTTTGTTTGATAATTAATTGGTTTCCACTTTTATCTTTACTTATTTGTGTTTTATTGGGGGGTTTGGTTATAGTTGTGTTAGTGTTTGGAAAAAGAATGAACCAGCTAGTTTAGTTTCTATAATTTTTTGGGTTTCTAAAATTTAACTAGCTGTTTTCAGGCTTTTGCCCCCCTTACAAAATTTTTTTTTAAAAAAAAAAAACCAAAATTCATGATTCCTCCATTGTGTACGTCCATTCAGATATCACGAGACTAGCATATAGAGCATGACAAGTCAAACAAATAAGAACAAACACCATAAAATGTTCACCCAAAACCCCACCACTAGGAAAAATTGAGAGTCATCATTTGACCACTAAACATGAAAGATTCTTACGGAGAACAACACAAAAAGCTCAAGAATTCCTATATCTATTTAGGAAACAGCCCTACCTCTCTATGCAATCTTCATGCCTAGCTCAGTAACACTAGCATTTCGTCTTCATGGAAATGGCAGCTCCAACTCCAGCTTTTCACTCCATGGCACCAGAAGCTTAGCTTATAATCAACTTTGAACAAAGAAATGTAGATTCAACAAAAACTAGACCGATTCCTTCAAGAAATCATATTCTTGAAGAAACCAATCAAGAATTTGACCTAGAAACTAAATGTATGAAGAGTATGAATTGCTAGATGTAGATTTTGAAAACCATGACCTCACAAGGCAAAAATGAAGAGCAAAGTACTCTTAAAAATTCAGAATATCTGAAGTGACAACTATTGTACCATAGCCAAGCTTTTAGTTACAAGAGGTCAGAGGTAGGTCATAAATCAATGCATAACAGTTGATAACACTGTGCATAACTGTGTTCAACTAATTTTTGGCCGACTCTATGTATGAGAGGAATATACTCTCAAGGTAATTTTTTTTTCCTTCTATTCATGGCAATATTGATTGTGAAGTTCCAATAAGGGTGGGCACAATTTCGGGTAAATTCAACCGAACCACCCAACGTGATCATAGTGGGTTAGGTTGGTCTAAAAATGAACGGGTCTTGGGTTCAAAAAAACATAAACCTCTATGTACGGGTTGGGTTACGAGTTAGAATCAAAACTTAAAAATAGGCTTAATTTTGAGTTAACTCAACAAAATCGCCCAACCCGATCACAAAAAGTTTGGGTTGGGTTGGGTTGGCCTATTAATAAATGGGTCTTGGGTTCAAGAAATCATAAACCACTATATATAGGGTTGGGACTAAAACTGACCCAACCCAACTTATGCCACCCCTAGTTCCAAGTACGGACACACATTATAAGTTTCATTTTATTTTTCTGATTTTATAATCTTCATTTTATTGTCTTTTTCCTTGAATTCCTTTCCATTTTGTTTGTAACCGCTTGCAACTTGGAAGTTCTTACCTTGTCCTCAGGCCATCTCTAGGTAAGGACGGCTACATTTAGCCCTCTGAAAATATGATTTTTGAAGGAATAGTGTCGGGCTATAATTTAACCGTCTCGAGCAGCGAATGGCTAAATTTAATGTTTTAATAGTTTTTAGTATATGATGTAAATTTATTAGTTAATTTAATTAAACTACTATTTATATCTTATTTAAAAAATATTTTAGAAGAGAAAAATATTTTGGGATAGGATTTTTGTGATGTAAATTTATTAGTTAATTTAATTAAACTGCTATTTATATCTTATTTAAAAAATATTTTAGAAGAGAAAAATATTTTGGGATAGGATTTTTGACATCCACGTGTTGGCACGTGATTAGCCCTGTAAATTTATGATTAAATTTTTTCTTGTTCTAAAAACAACTTAAAAATTAATTTAAATGAAAAAAAGAAGAAGGATAGTTTGTAAAAGAATGAAGAGATTGTGAGAAACTATATAAAATGATGAAATTGAGGAAGAATAATATGTAAAATGATGAAGATGTTTTGAGAAATTATGTAAAAATGAGGTAGGTATTTATACAAAAAATTTAAGATTTTTTTAATAAAAAAAATTTCTGTTTTTTTTTTTAATAAAAAAAATACTAGCTGACGTCACCTAAAGGCTACGTGACGTCACCTGGGCCTCATCCAAGTATTTAGCCCAAGATGGCCAAAGGGCCACATGTGACCCTCATTTTAGGAATTGGCCCTTTGTGTAACGCTCCCTTTTTCTATAGCTCTTTATGAAGCCCACTTTTGAAGATGAATTTTGGGATTTTTTTTGAGGATATAGCCCTCACTTGGAGATCCTTCACTCTCCTCAACCACTATCCTTTCAATTTCAATATTACAACAATGGTTTTCTTAATTTGATTTAAATATTAATTATACACTAGGTCATCAAATTAGCAATTAAGCATATCAATATATGGTTTTGAACATGTTCGGTTCATTTTTACACATGATTTTTCATGTTATTCACCCACTATTTTGAGTTAGTTCTTGACATTTTATAGCTTTTTACTTCCTTTTTGTGTTTTCTTAGATTTTACCTTGGTTGTGATGAAAATGAGCTAAAAGTGCATTATTAGTTATAAATTCTGTTTTTGTTCATTTTCGTAGGTCAACTTCTTGGCCTGGGATCAACATGCTCTGATGCTCGGATGAGGTCATGATCTTCATGAGACTTGTTCCAATGGATGTTAACTACAACATATCCAAATTTGAGCTCCATTGGACAAGAATTATGTGTGAAATATCATTATTATCCTTGCATTATGACTTTGAGAAGGAAAAAAAATATGATGGTAGTGTTGTAAATTTTAGGTTTTTCAAGGCTTGTATGCTATATTTAGTTCTTTTGAAAAGTCAAAAACTAATTAGCAATGGGGGAGTAACCCAACTCTTTATAAAGATTTCTTTAATTGTGGAAACAATTACACATTAAGATCAAAATTAAAGTAATGTTGATAATCACATAAAGTTTAAAGCGTCTATGTAACTAGAGAAGACACATTGAAAGGGGGACAGAGACTAAACGTATTCAAATTCAAGCCACTTATGGATTGATCAGTCGCCCTTCACATGTGATGTTGGGGCTAACACATGGATAATTGGATATGATATCATATAGAATGTATGCATCCAACTAAAAATTAATTGATAATTGTTGAAAATAGGCAATATCATTGAGCAGTTTACCATTTTGTCCTTATCACCTTCCCAAAAAAGAATATTCACTGTTAAACTTGATCAACTAATAGTCTTATCCCAAAATCATTTACTTGGCTACATAATTAAGATAAGATTAATTACGTGTTGAATTTAAAATATGTTAGGAAAAAAAGGGTCTAGAAAGACTAGACCACATGTTATAATTTCTCATAGATCTGGATCATCTTGAGCAATTATGTAGGACAATTGACCGTATATCTCCTCCTCTAGCTGAAGTAATGCATGACTTTAAAATGATCATCTGCTTTCCATGCTTTACACTCGGAGTTTGGACATGTGTTGTGCCTTAAGAACATGTTCAAATATTCTATGGCTTCTTTAGTTGTGTAAACAATTGCTCATCATAAAGACCAAAATCCAAGCAGTGCAACGTTGATAATCACATAAAGTTTAAAGCAATTACATAAGACTTTGAATTGGACAGAGTAATATGCAGATCTTTGGATGAACATGATGACATTTATCTAAATAACCTAAAATGTGAAGAGGGGACATTCTTTTTTGGTGTTACAGTAGTCAGATGTGGTTATGGATTTGGTGTTGCTGGGTTGCTGGGTTTGGAGAATTCTTTTTTGTTTGGCTTATTTTAGGTTATTGGATAGAATTACCGCATCATTATTAATTCAATATTTATTTTTTCCCTCGATCAGTTCTCCTTGTTCTTTTGTTATCACTTTTCCCTTGGATTGGACCTGACGCGTTAAACTAATACACCCAAGAACTTCGATATTGTCATCCATGGCTGCCAAACTCCAATAAAAAATTGGTAAAATTTGATTTCCGATAGTGACTTGGCCAGTTTTTTACACAAGTCCCATTCCCCACACCTAGGCTTTGTCCCTTTGGGGGGTTTTAATCTGCACTGCATCCAGTTCAAGTTAAGGATGCTCACATCATTGAACTTTATATCTTGGCCATGGTTTCCTCAACATTCTTAAGATTATTGATAATCTGTACACAAATTGCGTTACAAATTATCATCACCATCAACATTAATATCACTCATGCACAGCTTCAGCCGCCTGCAATTCCATCAGCCGTCTGTGATAACAACAAAGGCAACTACACCACTAACAGCACCTACCAAAAAAACCTCAATGACCTCCTCTCCTCCTTGCTCTCCAACAGCAACGGCTACGGCTTCTATAATTCCTCCGTGGGCCAAAACTCCGACACAGTTTTCGCAATCGGGCTTTGCAGAGGAGATGTTAAGTCTGACGCTTGCGGTAAATGCCCCAGTGACGCCACCTATGTTCTACCGAAGAATTGTCCTAATCAGAAGGAGGCAATTGGATGGTCTGAAAATTGCATGTTACGCTACGCAAACCGCTCTATGTATGGCCTGCTGGAAGTTAATCCTAATTACGGTGCGGTAAACGTAGAAAATGTATCATCTACATACTTGGATGCGTTTAATAAAGAGGTCAATGCCTTGTTCAAGGGACTAGAAAGCGAAGCAGCGGGGGGCGGTGATCTGCGTAAGTTTGCAGTAGGAAACGCAAGCGTTGGCTCGAATTCGAATTTAACTATCTATGGACTTGCTCAGTGCACTCCAGATGTGTCGGAGGGAGAGTGTGCTGCTTGCTTAGATGGTGCTTTCGGGTTTGTCCAATCATGTTGCAGTGGAACAATTGGTGCGAGAATTGTTACACCTAGCTGTAACATAAAGTATGAGATTAGGCCCTTCTTTGACAGTACAAACGAGACACCACTGACATCGCCCCCCTTAGCAACACCAGCCTCTGCCCCTCCTCCACCACCAACCGGTGCCACGACTCCAGGAGGTATTGTGTATGTCATGTGTCCCATATTGATAATGCATTCATAGTCAACAAAATATGTGGTTGAATTTCTGATGTGAATTGGATTGAACATGAGGGAACATGAGTTTTCAATCCCATCATCTTCTAAGTCTTAGTAACTACTCTGTTTTAGTGTTGTAATATCTTCTTCTGCACAACAGGGGAATGCTAGTTGCAGATGCAAATGACTCTGTTGATTGATTTATTTTTTTGGTCTCATGCAAATGAATTTGTTTGGTTACTTTGTACCTAGTGTAAAGATTTACAATAATCGAAATTCAGCCCCGTGATGCTCCGATCAGAGAAACCAGATTAATTTCTGATTTTTGCAGGAAAGAAGAGCAATACATCTCGGACTGTCATCATTACTGTTGTGACAATTGTTGTTCCCATGCTGCTAATTATATCCATCTGCATTTATCTGAGATTGAAGAAGAGAAAGGGAAAACTTGAAGGTAAGTTGAGATAAGTTTGTCATTCTAATTTCCCCTGAAACAAACAGACCTCTTGTTTGTCTTTTAAGTATGCAATGAACTAATTTAATTTGTGTTACATTGTTTGTCATTAAAATCTGAGAAGGAGATGAACTTGGAACAGAAGCCTTGCAATTCGACTTCAACTCCATTAAAGTTGCTACAGATAACTTTTCTGAAGCAAATAAGCTTGG